TAATCAAATTGAGTCTTAAAATTTAATAATTAAATCTAATCTTTTGATTCTTATTGAAGCTAAAAATCATCTTACCCGACATTTAAGATTAAGAGGTTTAGTATTAGGCTAGTTTTAAAATATCGATGTATAATCTAACTTTATTCACAGCTAGTACTATCAAAAGATTCGTTGCAAATGAATGAACAAAAAGCGTTGATTATTCTTGGAAAGATCGTATGAGAATAGCAAAATTTAGTAGTAATGTAAGGTAATTATTAATGAAAGAGGATATGACCAAGATGTGGTTCAGTCTAAATATTTAAATTGTACTGGCTTAGAACAATAAATATTAAATAAAGTTAATACAAAAAGAATATGACTGATAAATTGAAATGTAATTTAAAACTTAAAACTATTCTTCAAAAACGGATGCAAGCAGAATTTAGTAAAGTGATACAAAAAAAAATCACTTTGAAAGATTTGTCGCCTTCATGTATTCTATATTCCTTCTATCAATGCATTTACTTGCTTTTCTTACTAACTTCTTTGAAAGCAAAGATTTGATTATCAAAAAATGGGAAGTGAATAATTTGAAGTTTTTTGTACATACGACCAAATTTCAAAAAATCTTTTGATCCTTTCATTTTATTTTACTTTCCATTTAATCTCAATTATGATTATAATTCGCAAAAAAAATTGATCCAATTTGAACTTAACGTTGACCTGAAGTATTAGATATAAGTAAAAAAATTCAGATTCAGTTGGTAAATACAGAAACTAGTATAGTTAAAGATTTATGCTTTTCAAAATTGTGTTTAATTTATATACATCCTGCTAGATTTTTTTACTAGCCTAGCTTGAATTTTTTTTATCTAATAGTACCTTTTTTAATAAGGCATAACATTATTGAATAATTTCATTTTTTTCTCACAGTTTCACATTAAATGAGTCAAATTTACTGCAATTTCATTATTTACTTTTATTTAAACGTTCTTGTTTTTAGATTGTGATAATTTTTTTATTTATTAAAATTAATTTCCTCACAATGAGAATGGAGGAGAAATTGCAATAGTTATGCGAAATACGAAGTGAAATAGGCATTCATTAATTTGATAAAGAATCGTTCGATAGATTGTATCTATCTACTGATTGAACTTTCTTTCATCCCACCCATTTTCTATCAAATATCCATATCACCAAGTTGTTGCATGATATTAAGGTCTTTTTCTTCCTTCTCTCATTCTCACTCCCATATAACTGAATCAAAAATGCATCAAGTCTAATAAGATTATATTGTTTCTATCTTATGGAATGAAATAGATGTACTGTAATATTTTCAAGCTTTCTTTAATACTTCTTTTTATAATGCATAAAATCTTTTGCAAGTTATAGACAGAATATCTATGTAGTTTGTAATAACTAGAAATATTCACAAATTATCAAGTACAGACAAAAAAAATTGTCAATAATACTCGACTGGTTATTGTGAAATTTTAATTGTCGTTAAACACCATTTTCCAAAAAATTTTGTCCCACTTCTTGCTCAAAAATAAAAAAAAGAAAACGAAATGATGATCAACGTTTCAATTTTTTTCTCGTCAAAAAGTTGACACCATCACTTGAAATTAGACTGTACTGGAGAAAACTTTTTAAACAAAATTAGGCTTTACTAGAAAAACTTTTTTTTAAACAAAGAGTCTGATCTTTCCAGTAATCTTTTATCTTCTGAATTATTCATTGCAAGACTGATAAGTACAAAAAAAGAATTTCAGGAATTTTTTGAATATTTAAGGAAAGCATTAAAAGCTATTTTTGGTTTTCTCAAAAATATTCCTACCTATATTTTTCGGAATATTCTTCGCTGACTTGAACCTCTCTCTCTCCCCTGAAATTTAAAGTTTGAATATTTTTTTAATTTTCTGTCTTAACACAAATTTTTTTCAACTCAATTTTTTCAATAAGTTTGCTCAATGATATAGTTGAACCATGTCGTGTGTGAAAAGGTTTTAAAGAATATGAAAAGTTGAGAGATCGACAAACTTCAGATGCGAGTAAAATAGGTGCAACTTTTCTAATCATATGTTCGCATAATGTTTAGTTTTTCGTTATTTTTTCAAGTGCTGAGATTAGGATAGCGTCGAAAAAATGACATTATACAAATAGTTTTTAATTTCAGCCTTTAATTCAATTAGAAAATGTCCGATTAGGTATCAAATACACCATAATTTTGGAAAAAACATTTTTCGAGAACGGCAGTTTTATGCAAAATTTACGCTTCAATATCATGAATAATAAATGCATTATTAATATTTATCAGATATTAATGCTGAAGAAATTATTAAGTGAAAAACTGTTATAAGTAAACAAACAAATAATTTGCCATGAGTATTTGTGCAAAACGATTATGTAGCAATCAAAATAATGAATATACTATCAACCAGTTACTAAATGATTACTTTTCTCGAATAATTGATTGCTTAAACTTTAACTAATTATTAAATTGTTAAAAATTACCGTAGTTATTTTAAGAGACTACACTCAAAAACCTTCGGAAACCACGCCCTGAATGTCTAGAGATAACCCCCTCTCTTTTCATTGGTTCAGCACTTGTCCTACATCGTATTATTGTCATTTTATTCGTTTTATTGCTCTTTCATCCCTATTCACCAAAATGATTACAAAGTTTTCTTATGTCAGAACAGATTGAAGGAAGGAACCAAAGTTGTTTAATAACACATCATTGTGAGCTCTTCCGTGACACTAATTTGCTGTTAAATATCAAATCATGCTCATATTCTAATCCTATTTCTCACAGATCTTCTAAGATTGTTGGAATTAGGCTAATTAACAAATCAAAATAATTATCATTGACATAATAATGTTGTTTATTGTTATATTATCAAATAGAACATTTTAAATCTACATCAGCAGTATCATTGTAATGTAACGCAATCAATCATTGTTAATTTACAAAGAAAGATAAGGTGAACAAGTAAAGTTTGTAAAAAAAAAACGCCTGAAAGGCATATAATAGAATGGATATTCTTAGCGAAATTTGTTTCATCTTCCAAAATTTTGCAAAAAGCGGATCGTATTTGTATGATAAAGTTAAAAATGTTACGGCAACAAAATAAATATAAAAGAAATGAAATATATTGAGTGTGATTTTGAACTAGTTATACCTTAGATTGATTTAATTGATTTTATTCAGTACTCCAATTGCATTGAGGCTGATGAGGTAGTTTATAAAGCTGCGAGAGTAGATTAAGCTCGCAGATTTTAAGCTATCTCCACTGCCTTCATTGCATCATTCGCTTTCACTCTCTTATATTTTTAAACTTAATTCAAATTTCTCTTATTCATCCCATGCATCAATATCTTTTTTTAAAAAAAATTTTGCTCAAATAGTTCTTTTTTTGGAAATTTGATAGCTTTAATAATTTATTTTTTTGGATAATTTATTGCATAGAACGATAAAGACTACAAAATAAATAAACAATCGATGATATAATCTGGAATCATTTTTTAATAGAAATTTTACGTAAGCTGCTTGTGAGTTGAATAAGATCATTAATTTTTAACTTTAAATCATTTCATTTTGAATATATCTGCTGGAATAAGCTAGTGGATTTAATTTGGAAATCGTAATAAATGTTGCGTTTGTGTAATTTTAATCATAATAAATGATGTATTGTAATTTTCTTTATAAAGCGTTATGCTATTTTTATATAATATAAATCAATAAAAGCTATAACAGCCTGCTATCAATAGAACTGAAAATGTTGCAAATAAATTGATCAACAAATAAATGAGATTCAGTAAATTCAATTAAAATTGAATTGGATTAAAACTTTTATTGGATTAAAACTGAAAATAATGCCTTCACTTGCTGTATTGATGTTTTCTGTGTTTACAATGATGATGTATTTATAGCATAGTTACAATGAATTCCAATAAATTATTCAAAAGCAGTCGGCAATTGTTATAGCAAAAAAATTCATTGCTGTTTGTGCAAAGAAAAAATTTACATTGAATTGCAATGTGTATATATTCTGATGTTCACTCTTGGAAAATTCACTGTTTTGATTTTTTAAGTTTTGAAAATGCTCTCACGAGAGATTTGAATTCATGGGGAAATTTGCAGTGAACTGATGACAACATTCTCGATTCGTGTTGCTAAAAAGCACCTGAAAAGGGTGCTTTTGATTTTTTTTGTTGTCATGGTTTGACATTATTCAGCTTTCTAAATGCAATGATTAGAAAGGAAAAAAATAAAATTCTCTCAGTTGACAAATAAGTGTTTGCTGTGAAAAGTTTTATTTCATTCATTTCAAGTTATATTTTTTGTTTCTCATCCTCGAGCATTTATTTCACTGATCTTATTATTTCATTTTCAAATACAATAAATAATTTGTCGCACAAATGATTGCTATCAATGAAAGCAGTGTTATTTGCCTTTTAAATAATTAAGCAAAACACTTCTAACTTTGATATATTCAAGTGATGGTAATGAATTCGTATCATTTCTTATTCAGAAATATTTTGAGATTACACTTGACTAGAATTTTTGAAATTTTCAAAATATGAAAATGTCAAGCCTATACTAATAAATAACTTGTTCACTGATGCAGTCATATTTTCTCCCACACCGTTGACCTTTCTCTATTTGTCCTTCACCACACAACAAAAAGTATAGTTTTATGTATCCTTTGAATTCCCGAAATCATCTTTCCAAGGCCGGTGTTGCAACATAAAACATTGTCTGAACACTTTTTTTTACAAAATAGTCCAAAAATTTCTGATCCATGGAATGTCTGATAATTTTTTTAGTCCAACAAGTCACTTTTTTTTAAATGTCAAATGATTAGCAAATTTTGATTTGATTTATTAGTTAAAAATTTTACTCCTAAATTCCATTTTTAATGATTGAAATATTGGAAGTGATAATTTTATAATAATTATCTATAATACAAAATAAAAAAGGAATACGTTTCTTTTTTTGTTTTGAGGTACTGTCAATGGTAAAACAATTCAAAAACACCGAACAAAAACAAGCAATTGTGATTGAAAAAATTTGCTCCAAAGAATTTCAGTCCTGCTTATTAATTAAGGATGAAACGTTTGATGATGGAGGGCAGTAAGTCTGATATTTATCATTCAAGAAAAAAAAAAAAACGAACATAAAAATTTCCCGGTTTTATTATTGCTCATACATATATACGAATTTTTTTTCAAAAATAAATTTGCTACACTCAGGAATTCCGTGCTGCGTACGCTTGTACCAGAAAAATTTCCCGATTTTATCGTTGCCCAAGTAATCCTGCAAACATTTACAGGTTTCTGGCTGTATATCAAAATTAAAATTTTTTTTTTCCTATAATCAAAAGAATTTCGATTTGAGAGTACATGCTCTAATTTGCACAGTACAATGATGCATATTATGTTAGCAGATTGTACCATCACACAGGAAAAAAAAATTGTCGAAAGTAAATTCTAACCAACTTAATGTTTAACTATAAAATTAAGAGCAGCATTCAATTTTAATTCAATTTTAACTAAAATTAATTTACTGAAAAAGAACTTTTGGAGGGAAATAAAATTTATTGAAAAAGAGCTTTTGCAAAAGATTTAAGCAAGTACCATAAGAAAAGAGAAAGTAAATTCAGGTTGGAAATCATGGTTACCGCAATTTAATCGAGCGCAATGCCATGCAATAGCATTGCTACCAGCTGATTATCAACAGATAATGTTAACAGCTCCATTTTTGACCGGATCATTACGTAAAGTGAATGATAGCATTGAATCCAGCCGTGTATTACTTGTGGGACTCGGAGCACGCACAATCGGCAATTATATTCATTATCATTTATTTCGAGTATGAAAATATTGTTTAAAAAAAACCTTTAATCATATCGAAAAAAAAACGATAAATTTTATTTATTTAAATATTTATATCACCGTGATAGTTTGAAATGATCAAATCATACACTTTTGTTTTTTGATTGTAATAAGTTCATTCTATGCTTAATATCTTATTTTAGTATAAAATAAAATTGACAAAAAAAAAGAGAAATAATTTTATTTTAGGTAGAAATTGATGAGCTCGTTGTTGTTGAAAAAGATCAATATCTGAACAAAGTATGGTTAAATAATTCAATTTGGAGACATATCACTATCGCTGATATACGTTAGTGATTTTATATCATTGAGTTCGAGAAATTAATAATCGTTTTATTAGCTAATCAGTAAGTTCTACTTTCAATTGTACTTTATCTTCGACATCTCAATGTCAAAAAATTTCTAAAGAAATATTATACGGCATTTAAAATTCCTAAAGAAATATTATGTAGCATTTTCCATATTTTTTGAAAAATTTTTGATTGATAGACTTTTTTTTTTTTCAATAATTTATTAATGACTAATTAACCTTTGTGTATCGTTAGATGATCGATGCTCAAAAAAACAGAAAAATTGATGTTTTAAATCTAATTTTATTTTTCAAAAATAAATTAACAAACTTTACTAGCTTCTGTTTGTTACCATTGCTATATGATGTTGTGCTTTAAGAAAATGAGCCTCATTTCGCAATTCACGATATTATAACGATTTTTTCACCAGTTCAATGAAAAATTTTTTTTGTGTAATAGCAGTAATTAGGAGCAAAAATAACTTAATAATACTGCGTAAATGCTACATAAGAAATTAGCACGAGCTATTATATCAAAAAATGCTTTCTAAAAGTTTTAAATCTATTTAAAAACAGGAATAAGTTCGGAAAGAATTTTAATTTTTTGTATTATAAAAATGTTTAACTGTTAAACTGCTGATCGAATAGAAAAATCTTGAATTGAAGTGCTCTTAATGATAATAACTTTATTTTTAATGCTTCGTCATAAATTAATGGTTTTTTGATGACTAAAAAAGTGTTTAAAAAAGAAAATTTAAAGAAAAATCAATATAAACTGTTTATAAAGGTGAAAAAAACTATAATGCAGTATTTATTGACACCTGTCTTAATGCTATCTGTCCGCCAACACGGATAATCGAAACAGCTGCACAGTTAAATAAAACTATCAAAGAAGATGGTGAATTTTCAATTTCATAATCTTATACTATTCTTTTCTTCATGCAACATATGCTACATATTTGTGCATATTTTAAAATTTACTTTATGAACTAGTTGCTAATAAGTAATCTATGCTCCAAACACATTTCAAAAAATCGAAAAAGTTTTTTGACCTGTTTTTAAAGTTAAATAATGAAAGAGAAACTGGAAACAATCAGAAGATCAAAGATAGATTAGCTTTAATGATAGATCTATTAAAATAACTGAACATTTTAAAATTCTGAAATTAACTCAACAGGCAGCAAAAAACTGGAATATGATATGAAAGAAAACTTTCAGGTATCCTTATCGTTAATGTTAATGCTCCAGCAAAAAGTTTATTACATCGTACAATAAAAAGGGTAGGGAAATTTTTGATGCTTCAAAATTTCTTTCAATTCTCTTTGTATTTCGCAAAAAAAAACGAAAGCTCTCCTATTGAGCCTTAATGATAAGTGATAATTTTTGAGAATGCAAATATTTCGATATTGAGAGATCTTCACTAGCAAAAATCTTTGTCATATAATCTTAATGGCTGTAAAAAACTAGATTACTAATACAATGCTCGAAATGAGAAAAACGACCAAAGTAATGGCATAATTATTGATTATTTACAGGTAAATGATAGTTTATCAAAAACATATGGTTGCTTTATGATAGCTAATCGTAATAGTCGCATGGCTCCTTCCAATATAATACTTCTTTATTGGAAATTGTCAACAATAACTGGATGTCAAAAGGTGATTAAATCATTTAAAATGAAGGAAAAATCTTTCTCATTGTTCAGGTGAAGTGATAAATGATGTTGGATTTAAGATAAATATTTACTATTACAATTTTTTGCATGTTGCTATCATTTTCAAGTGTTACAGATACAATTAAATTGCTGTAAAATGTTGTTATGTAATTTGGAATATGGGTTATCTTAAGTTTACATATTAGATTTATAGCAGCTTCTCTCGAACTATGACAAGATATGACATCAGCTTGTATCAACCCATTTTATTATTTTTGTTGTAGAAATAAAGAAGGTGTTTTAGTGCTGCATTTATGTTTCGTGTTGAATTTGGATGTTCATTGATCACAAATTTTGCATATTAGAATTGAATTAAAATTAATTTATTTTGTTTGATTCAAAAATTAATCAAAGATTTCATGTGAGCATTGGGAATGAAGATATTTAAAATAAAAAGATAGTTGACAATTTTAGCTTATTTCATATCAAATTCTTCCTTTCCTTCTAAAATTTACAAATAAAAATTGAATTGAACAAGAAAGTACAGTAATCACCATGGTTGCAATGACGGTTAGTCGTTTTATTCAGAAAAAATTAATTCCATAAAGTAAATAAATAAAATTTCAAAATTTACAATGGAACTAAAACTTCATAAACTCTCATACTACAAGTAAAAAGAGCAAAATTCATCAAACATTTTGGGTAGTGATCTCTTCGCCCATACTATTTTTTACGGTAATCTTGTGATTTACAATATTTTATACAGTTCGCGCTTCTGTCAAATAATTTGTATATGCTGTTATTTTATAGGTTAAGATGATCTACTAAAAATGACGTGGATATTTCACGCAGGTTATATGTTTATAAACAACAGAGATAAATTTTGATTTGTGCTTTCTATGGAGATCACAAAAATCGCCTAAATCAGAAAATGATTTTAACAATTTTAAAATAATTTTCAAGCCAAATCTTCTAAATAAAATTTATATTAATAGCTGTAACACTTCTGAGAAATGTGAAAGTTTGATTTTTGGAGAAGTTTATTCAATTGTTCGTAATAAAAATTAAATAATTTAGTAATTTCAAAACACATAGTCTACTCAAAACAATTTAATTAACAAAGAGAAGTAATCATGATGAATTATCTTTTTCTTGTTTGCTTAAAAGTAATTGTTGCGGACGTTAGCATGGTTTGAAGAGAGTTATTGGTTTGATTTGACCTGGGAGAGCTTTGTAGCTATGTGACACAATGGAATCAGTTGGTGAAGGTTTCTTGGTTATTGGATTAAAACTTGGGTTGATTTGTGTTACAGAATTGGGTTTCTTGAAGAGGAGANTTGATCNNTCTGTTTGATTACGATCTGATAGATTCGGCTTGGATTCGGTTTAGAATGCTTGTTCCAAACACTGTTGAATTTGACGTGGTGACTTAGTTTATTGGAACAAATAGAAGTATTGACGATAATAACTGACGTAGTTGT